CCATAGCAGAAGCTTGGTTTTGTGCTCAGTGACCCATTTTTGTGGTGTTTTTGAGGTTTGTTTTTGGATTATTGTCCGGTTGGAAGATCCAAACATGGCCCATTATAAGGTTGCTAACAGAGTCGGTCACTTTTAGATTTTTTATCTGTTGGTATTTGATAGAATCAAAGATGCCATGTATCTAAACAAGATGTCCAGGACCTCCAGCAGAAATATAGGCCCACAACATTAAAAATACAGCAGTATATTTCATTGTACACATGGGGTACTTTTTATCCCTGTGTGCACCAAACCCCATCTTGAGTGTTTGTTGCTAAAAAGCAAATTTTTAGTTACATCTGACCATAGAAGCCAGTCCCATTTTATAGTTCCAGTCGTGTCTGATAACTGAATATGCTGGAGTTTGTTTTTGGATGAGAGCATTTTCTTTTCTTGATTTTTTTTGTTCTTGAAACCCTCCCAAACAACATGTGGTGTAGGTGCTGTTTGATTTTTTTATTATTTTTTTTTTAAGGTTTTCTGACCCCGAGACTCAACTACTTTCTGCAATTCTCCAGCTGTGGTCCTTGGAGAGTCTTTAGCCACTCAAACTCTCCTCCTCACCGTGCATTAGGACGTTTTCCCTCCTATTTATATTCCTGTGAAACAGGAAGCCATGGCTAGATAATTGCATGTTCATAATCAGCCTGGTATGCTCAAAATTGTAAATATGAATGGGAATATACTTCACAGATATTTTACTCATAAGAATTTATGGGGTGCCAATAATTGTGTCCAACGTGTATTTGAGAAAAACATGAGATTTTCCCCCATTTTGAATTGTTTTAGTTCAATGAAAGGTTAGATATTTGTGATTTTTTAAAAATAAAAGATCAAAATGATTAACAATGCAGATTTATTTTCACAGCCTTCTTTGATCATATTTACCAAGGGTGCCAATAATTCTGACCACGACTGTATAAATGTATATACATGTAAATATTGTATTATATTTTTTACAGTAAATATAACTATATGTGTGTGTATTTATATATATACATAATAAATATACACAGTAAACATACATATATTATATAAGCAAAAACTGTTATTTTGAATGCTATTCATCACGATTAATCGTTTGACAGCACTAATAAAAACACACCTTTCACAGGACTCGTACTTGAGTACTTGTTATTGCGAGTGCAGTGCTGGGTAACACTTTATTTTAAGGTGTCCTTGTTACATGTTACATATACTTACTATTATAATAGCACTTAATTATGCATAATTACATGCAAGTAAACCTAACCCAAACCCTAATCCTATAACCCAAACCACATAGTAAGTGTATGTAGTTAATTCATATTACTCAGTACTTAAAGGTACAATAGGAGATCTTGGAAAATGCTAACTTTAGCCTGATAGCACTGAAAGCGAACGTCCCACCCTCCCTGCAATCGCCGTCCAAAGCCACGCCCCCTGAACGCATTTACACTCACAGACCAGAGACAACATTACTACAATAGGCTACATCAGCGGTTCCCAATTCCAGCCCATGTTCTGAAGTGAAGTAAACTTCAACGGATTTCCCCTGCTCAGGGAGTAGGGAGCAATGAACACTGTGTAGGGATCATATCGATCGGAACACAGTTCATGCACGTAACTCACTTCTAACGAGCTGGCGCGAGGACCAGATTAAACGCTGGGCTACATCATGTGTCATTCACCAGTGAGAAATCTTTAAAAGTACTACAATACCAGGAAGAAAGATCGGGTTGTTGATGTTTGCCTACCATCCTCGCTCTGTCTGCACAGCGTGCGTAAACGCGCTGATGACGTATCCTGTCTGCGCGAACAGGGTGCTCAGAGGTATGCTAATACATACGTTGACAGGCAGGTAGGAAGGCATATTAAAACGCTCGGACCACATTTCTTGGTCCTACGCCTTCCACACACCTGCCACAGAATATATAAATACAGACAAATACATTTAGACCACTTAACTTAATAATTGCTATCGGGATGTGAAGAGACTTTCAACCAGCATAACAAAAATTGTTTCTGAAGACAATCACCTATTGCACCTTTAAATGTATAATTACACTGTAACAAGGACATCTTAATATAAAGTGTAACCCAGTGCTGTACCGGGTGAGCTACCGAGCAAGTTTACTTCAGATAACCCATATGCAGCTAGTTATGTGATGCAAACGTCAAAATGTTTTAGTTACTTTTTATATAAATCCTGACAGTAAGCAACTTATATGAAGCCCCCATTAATTCTCTCTGAGAAAAAAGAAGGCATCAGATCATTTTGTTTTTCTCACTCTCTTCCCGATAACATCTCAGAAATATCCATAACAAAGGAAGTTTGTTCTATCAGTGAGAGAATTCAATGCAAATAGGAGTATGGGGGAGTAGGGTCGGGAGGGGGCATCTGTCGTCATCCTCAGCAGGAACAATACGCCAAGCAACACTTCTTTTTAATCATCGCTATCAAAGCCAGCAAGCTGGCAGTAAAAGCCAAGTGTGCTCCAGCTCCGGGGCAGAGTAAGAGAGCGTTTGAGGATAACACGAAGACCCACCGCTAGCCCATGGGGATAGGAGGTGATTATTCAAGCAGCCAATTAGACGCCTGTCTGCATGTTTGTTACAACTCACAACTGTTTAAACCCCTGAGAGGCCAAGGTAAACAGAAATGGAGAGCAGGAGTGGAGAGACTGGGGACTCCAGCTTCTCCATCTTTTCCTTCCTTGTGCCACAGGAATACATTTGTTTACTTACACTTCGAGGGTGAAAACTGTATATTTGCATGACAATTAAATGGCAAAAGTCACAGCTCTTTTTTTACGTGTCACATAACTAAAACGTTTTATATTTTGCTTTCTGAAGATTTGAAGACACATATGGTAAAATATGTAGCAGTGGTTCTGAACTGGTTTTACTTCAGGACCCTTATTATGGCGATCCAACAGTACCAAAAGCAAGCAGAAGTTTCCTAAAGGACAAATATTGATAATAATAATAATAATAATAATTTGTTTTATTTTGTTTTTATTATTATTATTATTATTATTAAAAATAATAAATGTTAATTGTTGTCGTTGTGCATATAAATAATAAAAAAAATTACATTTTATATAATATTGTATAATAATATTTCCATTAACTACATTGCCTGCTGCACAATAATTTAGTTTTATTAAAAAGTGTTTACTCCCTTTTTCAAAAATTAAGTATATTTATTTTAAATAACTATTGATTTAACTATGGCTGATTGTATGAATAATAACTGGTTGTTTTCCCTGCTTCCCCAGTTGAGAATCACGTCTTTTGTTAGCATTATTTAAAAAAAAAAGATGTTAAAAAGGAAGAAAAGAAAACATGAAATTGACTCTTAAATTTGACTCTTTATCTTAATAAATGTCCCTGATCTATTTATTTTTTATTTATTTTTTTACTATTTATCTTAATAAATGTCCCTGATCTTACTGTGCACAACTCATCAGTTTTAATTAAATGCGGTAACTTAACTGCAGTCCTTTTGCAGACTTTCTTTTGTGATGGCCTTTTTTGTACACGTTTGCAAAGGAAAGTACTCCTAATAATATCCTACATTATTTTCCACTTAATATAGTTTCACTTGGAAAAATGACACTTTATGGAAGTTAAATTGTTTTATGTTGTCTTTTTAAATAATGATTCGATTTAACTTTAGCTCTATCAACAGCATCTGTGACATGCTGTCAGTTAGCACAGATCATTTCAGCATTAATGCACTTATAATGGAAATATATGAGGCAGTCCAGATGTTCAGCAAGCTCAGCACCTTAAATTTTCAAGGCATCTTTCCATTTTTGGGGGGTGCATAACTTAAAACTTAAAACACAAAGCATGAAATAGATTTCCAGTTTTCACTAAATGTGTCTTCATTATTCTTTTATGCTCTCTGTCAAAGATATTTCTTATTCCGGTCATGAGTCTACGCAATTACTTTTTTTAATATTTAATTTAGTCAGGGTAGCACAGACAGAGTGAAATTGTGTGAGTGCACGTTTCGTGTTGTTTGAAACATTTTTTGATGGAATACATTATTAATATTTTGAAATGGATAAATAATTCTGCCTGGAATTGTTGATGTGGTGGCTCATCGGTTTTGGCGTGCGTGTTTATATGGGACAAATGTGTGTCATTGTCTCGGAGGAGCTCAAAGCAATCAGTGCTGTTGACTTGCAGTGCAGCTCTGCATTCTGATGAGCTGAAGAGCGTCTCTAGAAAGTGGACAACCAGTTCACATCCAGTGGACACCATGGCTTGTTTTGGGTAAATAATAACAGAAAGTAACTTTAAGAGCATCATATCCAAGCATTTTGGTGGATCGATGGATCCATATGTTTATTTGATCCCTCAGTTGATACTTTGTCCATCGAAATCATATAAAGAAAGAAAAGAGTATAGTTACTGTAATGTGACTTATTTATCTTCTCCTTCTCATAAGTTGTGTCTCCAGTATCTCTTTGGGTTCCTTAACCACACTGTTCTCCAGATATAAGATCAAACTGGACTCGGATGAAATCCAGTATGGAGGTCATGGCAGACTGGACCACAACACTGAGTTCTTCACTGAACCAATGGAATTCAACAATCTGCCCAACTCTATATTGGTAAGCAAACTATACTATTTGTTACCATAAACATATAGCAACATACAACATTCATATGCCAACAGAGTCTGTTTTTCTTTGTCTGTGCTGATTGTGGTGGAAAATATGCGAGGATATTTGTTTAATGGAGCTCAGAGTGCTATTAGAGCACATTGAAAACAATACCACTTAAATTTCTCAATACCAATTTTAATACCACAGGAAAAGCTATTATGGTATTAAACTCACACTTTAATTATATTAATATAAATATATACAAATTAAATTAAAGTAATGGAACGTTGCCTTTAAAATTGCCCAAGTAATTAAAAACGAGTAAACAACTTCTCATTTAATTAGAAGTTCAGTAATCAAATAAAGATTCAAGAATCACATTACAAGAACGGGATCAAATTAATACAACAGAACAAAGATGCAAATGAAGTAAACAGTGGTGTTCCGGTATCTAACAGCAGTACTGTATCAGGTGTTCAAGTAAACATTCACAGAAATTAAATGTAAAACAACCCTACCTAAATAATTGACGTACACTCTTAAAAATAAAGGTGCTTCAAAAGGTTCTTCAAGCGATGCCATAGAAGAACCATTTTTGGTTCCAGAAAGAACCATTTAGTCAAAGGTTCTTTAAAGAACCATTTCTTTCTTACCTTTTTATAATCTGAAGAACCTTCTTTCGCCACAAAGAACCTTTTGTGAAACCGAAAGGTTCTTCAGATGTTAAAGGTTCTTTATGGAACCATTTAGACAAAAAGGTTCTTCTATGGCATCGTGAAGCACCTTTATTTTTAAGAGTGTATTCTCCACTACATGATTCGTAGATCAAATAAATGAATATTGATGCTGTTGGAGTTTGACTAAAAAGCAAGTCTATAATTAAAATATGTACAGTTTCTTCTTTTTTCTTCTTCTTAATACAGTTGTTTGATTAATATTAATGACATAAATAGACATTTACACTAGTGGTTCTTAATTAGAAGCCAGGGGCCTCGGCAAAGTTCTAAGGTGGCCTTAAGATGACTTTAAATTATTTAAAATAAGCCAAAACAGCTAAAAATCAAGATGGTTCTTATTATAAATCAACCCACAACATCTATCATGAAAAACCTGGATATATGAGATTTTTAAAGGAATAGTTCACCCAAAAAAAGAACATTTGCTGAAAATGTACTTATCCTCTGTCCTAGATGTAAAGAGTTTTTTCTTCATAAGAACAGATTTGGAGAAATGTAACATTAAATCTCTTGCTCACGAATGGATCCTCTGCAGTGAATGGGTGCCGTCAGAATGAGAGTCCCAAACAGCTGATAAAAAAACATCACAATAATCCACAAGTAATCCAAATGGCTCCAGACCCTCATTTAACATCTTGTGAAACAAAAAGCTGCATGTCTGTAAGATCAAATTCATTATTAAAGGGGTCATATGATGCTATTTTAAAGATCATTATTTTGTGTATTTGGTGTAACAGAATACTTTAAACAATCCCTTCTGGTACAAAAACAAACAAACAAAAAACAAGTCTATAATCTATAACAACACTTTCTTTAGTGAAAAAGTCCAATCCATTTTGTCCTCAATCATCAAAATCCACCAGCATATTTGTTTTGTTTTATATCTGTTTTGGACTGTTTCCATTTGTAAACGGTGCATATTTCTCTCCTGATTCAGACGAGATGACTTTTCCATAGGAGAAAGCAATAGCTGAAAGCAACAGTTTAAAACGTTTTAATGATGGATTTGTTTCTTACAAACATTGAGCTTTTCGCTTCACAAGGTGTTAGTTGATGGACTTGAGATGTGTGGATTACTTGTGCATTATTGTGAGGTTTTTATCAGCTGTTTGGACTCTCATTCTGACGGCACCCATTCACTGCTTGAAGATCCCATTGAAGTAATGCTACATTTCTCCCAATCTGTTCCGATGAAGAAATAAACTCATATACATCTTAGATGGTCTGAGGGGTAATACATTTAATCAAATTTTAATTTTGGGGGTGAATTATTCCTTTAAGTGTCATTTCTAAACCTGGAAAGCTTTGTGCCACAGTGCATCCTGAGAGAAATGTTCTCCTTTGTATTGTTTTAGTTTCCTGCATTAGCATACAAAATGCCTTCTCTGTTTGAAAACTGAAAGAGCTTTCATTGAAGCTCAAGGCAAGACTTTGTGATTGAACTGGAGCAATGTACAACATTTTAAACCATGCATTACTCAAGTTATGCATGTACACATTTGAAACCATGCAGTCGCTATATTATGTTCCTTTGGGCTCCTTTTATGCATTAGGCTCTTTACCAGAGCAGTAATAAACAGGAGTCAAGTGCAACACTATCTATAGTAGTCATAGTTCAATTAATCTAGTGAGTCACGTGTCTCCATCAGATAAGTTCTTCTATCTCTTGGGTTCCAGCTGTCATATTGTGTATTTTCTTTCCAGAGGCCTTATTGAAATTAAATGCATAGCGTGAAATTTAAAACCCCCATTTCAGGCCGTAGCTCGTGATGCAAGTCTTCATTCCTCCCTCGCTTCCGAACACTCCCCTATTTTTCTCATATTTTCTCTGTCATCCCCCTCATCTCTTTACCTAAGGGCCTGCTGACAATTTAATAAGATCCATAAAAATTCAAAAGCAAACTTTCCGTTTTGCTGACTTGTCCTGTTGTCAACATAATTTAGTAATTGTTAAGCAGAGCGTGTGGACCAATCTTGAGCTTGTAGGTAAAAGGTGGCAAAATAAAGATTTGCATAACTGACGTTTGTTTTCTTAGGTTTGCTTAGTTGCATGACTGCTTGGGACCAAATTAATAGACTGAATTCATGAATACAATATATCCACACTCATGTTGTTGACTTTCTTCTGTGGAGCACAAAAGAAGATATTTTGAAGAATGTTCATGCTGCTTTTTCCCTACAAAGAATACAAAGATCATATAGACACAGAAAATTATATAGGTACTTACACACTAGGAATGGGGATTTTGATTCATTTCAGAAACTCAAATCTTTTAAACTAGTTTACAAAAATAAATCTTTATTTTATTTTATTGTATTTTTTTATGCAAAATTGTTCCCTGATTTGTTGAGTGACTCTTACTGCAGGTTATATCGGTCAGTAGGTAATAATTTACTTGTCATATGTTAATAGCAGGGTTATTAGCTAAAACCATAAAAACTTTTAACTAAAAAACATAAAAAACGTAAACTTTTTTTTTTTTTTAGCTTGTTGCCAGAGAAACATTTCTCAATTTCATTTACTTTAACTAACAATACTAAAATACTAAATACTAAAACTGAAATAAAATGTGTAAAATTATCTTTTGTTATTAGCAGGGTTATTAGTTAAAACCATAAAAACTTTAACTAAAAAAACAAAAAATGTAAATCTTTTTTTTAGCTAGTTGCCGCAGAGAAACATTTCTCATTTTCATTACAGAAATTAAAAATAACTAAAATTAAAACTGGAAATTAAATGTGTAAAATTATCGAAACATTAAAAATAATAAAAATGACAAAAACACAAAATTGCAAAAATGTACAAATACTTAAAAATGACTAAAAACAAATATACTAAAACTTTAGAAATCTAATTCATGATATTAGTAAAAACTATAATGGTATCTCAATGATACTAAAATAACACTGGTAATGAGTGAGTCATTGAATCATTTACTCTACTGTTTCATTAACTGAGTCAACTGAATCAAGTCTCATTATTAATTGTCTATAGATTTACTAAAAATGTTCAAACACAAACAACAGGTCTTGTGCTGGTCCAAGTCTCATTCAATTTCTAAACACTGACTCATTGAGTGAAAGGGTGGGTTCGTTCAATAGGTCCAACCAATGAAATGCTCCTGCACAAGCCACATGTGAGTCTTAAATTACTTTTGTTCGCAGTCATCATGTTCTAACTGATACAGTAGCAGGTGCTCCGATACTGTAACAGGCATCTATTAAAGCTGCATTATTTATGAACTGTATTATTTTCATACTATTAAACTTGCAGAACTTACTCTAGAAGACCTCAGGGGTTGAAGAGATCTCAAGGCCTTTGACAGAAAAGAGCAGCGAAATTGAGCTAAATGCATAATTCAGAAACATTGACTTCGTGATGGTTTAATTTTTTTATACATTGATATTCATAGTGTCAAGGATACAGTAAGTGCTGGAGCTTTACTTATTAGTGCTGCTTACTTCATGCAGAAAATATAGTTGTGTTAAAGTATTGTATTGAGATTTAATCTTCTCACTGCATATGAATATGATTACTAACTAGTAGACAGGTTTATGTTGTGGTTCTGAAGTTGAATTGACATGACCCGCACTCTGTGAAATTGATAGTTATATATAAGTCTGAATTTATATTGATCCATTTAATGCACATCCAAATCTCTCCAAAGAATCAGCATTTTATGGTCTTAAACGGCAAGATACAGCAAGAATAGCCTCATTTTATGATGTCAGAGATAAAAGCATTTTAATTGTCATATTTTGTTGTTTATATATTAGATATACTGTATATGCTTCCTTTAGTTACATTAATTTAGGACATCTAACAACCAAATCATTTTGTGAAGTCTACTAGAGTTTGTTTCTTAAAAGTTTATTTTTTATTTTTTATTATTAAATACATTTATTTGTTTGTCTGTTTGTTTGTTTTTATTTTATTAAATTATTTACATTTACATTAAGTCATTTAGTCATATAAAGCAGCAAAAACTATTAAAAAATTAAATATAAAAAAAATGTAAAATGTTACATGAAACACATACATAGACTTTAAGAAACTTAAATGAACATGTTGTGCTGGCAACAAACTGAAATTTAGTTTAACTTGAAGTACTAAAACTCTATTAAAACTAATTAAATAAATAACATGTCAAAAACCCGTAACAAAATTGCTATAACTTATACTAACATTAAAATGAAATTGAAAATGAAAATGTATTCAAAATATAACTAAATACTATAATAGTATATAAATAATAAAATATCACTAAT